GTATAAACACCCAATGTTACAGATCTAAGAGGCACGTGCACATTTGGCGACCCAGCGATAAGATTGACAGACCCTATTTTTAAATAAACCGAAACAGAAGATAAAAGACGAGAGATTAGAACCAAACACGTCTTGAAAAGACAAGTTACGCAATTGCCCAATGAAGGTAGAAGAGCACGAGTCCATAATTGCCAAGGCATCGGAAACAATGGGTCATGATTAGATTGGCAGTAGTTGTGGAAGAAATGACGATACAACATTGAATAGCTAGAAATAGTTTGTTAATAACGAAGCATCCCACACCAATCAAAGATGTCCTGAACAGTAATTGCAACCAGTAGAGTTTGTAAGCAGTTCAGTTGACCAATTTAGTTAGGAAAACAAGAACATAAAGGAAGCCCATCACGAGATAGTTCCTATGATCACTATTTGTATTCAGGACGTGAAGTCTCAACGAGGTTGAAAGTACAAAAAAAGTAAACTAAAAATAGGACAATTATACAACTGATGCTCAAAGAAACGAAAACGTGCTCACAAAGAAAAACACAAATGCCGCATATTTTTCGGAAAAATGAACGTTTGCATGGTTGGTATTTTTCCAACCTCATTCCGTATTAAGGTCATACTTAGAAATGAGGTCACCAGCACAGAGCTAGGGTGGGTAAACTGAAATTGAACTTAAAGGGCAAGCAGCAGTCATCAGACAACACAACCAAATTTCGGTAGAATCGTATCAGCATCAATTATATTTCCGGGCTGAATTGAGGTTTACATGAAATTCTTAATAGACCATTAAACAATTAACCGAGAATACGCTTAATTTAGATGTGATTAAAAGCAATTCGATTTAGGGAGATTAAGATCGTAAACTGAAATTTCCCACAACTTAACGGGAAAATGGCGAATAAACTGCGCTAATTTTTAGTCAGCTAAATTCGGGTTTAGGCAGCATCAACGCAAAAGATAAACATGAAAAATTTATGCGCCTTCTGACCAGTATGCAAATATTAGGCGAGCTATTTAGCTCTATAACAATCTATGAATTTGTGTATTAGCCTAGGTTAGCCTAGTCATTGATTTGACGCCCTAAAAAATCTAAAACTACGATGGGAAACAGTTAGGCTTGGCGAGACACAAAACACAGGTGTGGTGGAGCACACGACTGGAAGCAAGCGAAAATGGGGACGTTTTTTGACAAGTCTACACAGTCTACCTGACGCAAATGTCAGTAAAGATGGCATCTGCCAGGTGGTGCTACGTGAATCTAAATGGCGGTGGTGTCACAAAAAGTCACCCAATGATGATCCCAAATTTAAGGAATGGATTTGTACGAACAGTACATGTAATGGCAAAAGAAATACCGGAGAAAGCGGGAAATATATAACCAACTAATGTTAAATTCTTGTTGTAAAATTGGGCTTTAAATCACACAACAAAATCGAAACTGCTTTATTATTCACCGTTATACGAATGTACATGAGTGGAATGAGTCACGACATCGCCAAGTAATAATAGCGACAGTTTCAACACAATGTTAGACTATACAGACAAGTAATAGCCTGAAATGTACAAGTTGTGTAATCTGATTAATTTTTAGCTACGGAAAGCTGGCTGAGCACTATATCCGCTATGCCAGCACGGACCCGGTCTCATGTAAAAAGTGGCAATATCACAAAACAAAGAAAATGAGTCGGTGAATCCTAAATGGAGGCATGGCTCTTTTAGTAAGCCTAAGCCAAATTTATTGGTAAGGGCGTTATGACAACGGAATCTGTTGAAAAAAACTTAGGGTAGTATTGTCCCGCATATTTAATCAACGTTTGTTAGGGAAAAATCAAAATAGCGCATAAAATAAGACGAGAATTTGACGTTGCTCCTTGAAATTGTAGCAAATATTTACTAATTACTGAAAATTGGTGCCCAGCAGCACGGCTCTATTAGTGGAGCAGGCGACAACCAAAAAATGCACCTTAAAGAGATAAAATGGCAGCCTACGTCAAGAGGTCAATTGTGTTGGGTGCCGTGAATGGGAAACGAGAGTGGTCGGCAGCTTTTGAAGTTGTTTTACACAAGGAAAAAAGCCTTCCCGTATTCCAATCGCGAGGTGTAGAATCAAAGGCGGTGAGCGCCCTCAAAATGTATGAAGATACGCAAAGGAGAAATTGTCAAGCTACTTTGTGCAACAAAATAAGCCACTGAAACAGGAGTCACACAAGACCATGGAATGTATTGTGAGAACATCTTAGACGTACGTCCTGAAATCTAATTAGCATAGCGAAAAACAGAACCTAGCCACGAGTATTGGCCTTGATCTGCAACAGTGGAACAGGTTTCAATAAATCATGGCGCTCCAGACCCCAGTTAAATTAATGAAACTAACTGACGTAGATATATAGTTTTGCATTTGCGAAAAGAACGGCGTAAGAAAATTGAGAAAATGCGACCGTGGGGCGAGCCAGACCCGGAGGGGATGACTCACTACACGCTGGATTTCCGAAAGGAGGGCGACGCAAACCAAGAGGCAAACCTCTCCCCAAAATATCGGAATGCCAATTCGCAGAATATCACAATACTTCTGGTGGGATTTTGGTAGAACATATCTTGCAACAAACCCAGGGACAAATGAGAACCGAAGACATGCTAAAAACGTATGTATTGTGGCTCAGAATAAGGCATTTCCTGTTTTCATAATTTTGCCTTGAAAACTTAACGGACGGTATCCAAGATAGGAAAACATTTGACTAACTTAAGCAACACTTTATTGTAGTATGAAGTGAAAGCTAATTTTGGCATCGAACATGTGGCAAAATGAGCAGGACCATCCCAGTTTGATGAACAGCTATGCCGATGAAGTGACGTAAATCAATAAGCAGTTCATGGTTTAGAATGTGCTTGTTTGTGGGATCAAAAGCAGAACACGCAATCCACTTCAGGAAGTAGATGGTAGCGGCAAGGAATTCAAACAGCCAGAATAGTAGAAAAGTGATTGTGACGACACGGAAGAACGTCCGTCCGTATTACTCAAAATTAAGAAAGCTTTATTTGGGAAAGTTTTGTGATAAAGGACTTGAATAATAGATACAAAAAAAGTCATGACTCGAGGCATTTACTGGACCGCGTAAACACCCTTTCACGTGCTGGCCGAGTGAGCGTAAGGCCCAGCTGTTGCACCGACATCACCTGGACGATGATTCCACATGCCACACGACGGGAGGAGGGAAAAGCAATGCGGGTGGGGGAGGGAAGAGGAGGGTGGGTGAACCCCTAAAAGCAGCTGGACAGGGGGACCGTAGTTTCGTCAGCACTTACGAGGGAAGCACGGGCAACACGACAATAAATTTACCTCAACAGGGACGCAACAATATTTTCCCAGTCACAATGTGTGCGGGAAATAATTCGACTTCAAACTTATGAAGAATAACACAAATTCAGAAATCAAGCTTAGGGGTCTCTAGGGGAATTAGCACATTAAAAACCTGGTCAACTATTGCTGGCTTCGAAATATTGAGAGGCCAAATCTCAGTAATACATCATGGGTCCTTGTTCATGAAATGGGGATTTTGCCCAATCTTTTAATCTGTATAACTGCTGTTCGGTTTTATCCATCTTGACGAAACGAAATACAAAACAATTTGGACTAACTACTTCGTCCAAAGTTGTGATAAATTTACTGATAGCATCGTCAGCTTGATAATTCTGGGCACTATAACATGACATAGAGATCTTCCATTAATGGACTCAGGTGTACTTGCTGGACGGTCATTATGCATTGGTGTGGCTAAATTTAGCAGTAGAGGTGGCGCACAATTGGGTGGAAAGAGCGCGCAATGATTTGTAGGACGGAATTCTTGAACTATGTGAATTAAGAGAAAAAAGTTGCTTCACGACAAATCGGACCCCTGCAGGACCACTTGATTGCAGAGCATAGCAAGAAGCCGAAAATAAACAGGACGTGGTGTTGTACAGAAGCTCGTGAATTAAAAGCAAACTTGTTTCCTACATTAAGCACCACAAAAAAGATGGTTCTGAAAAAATAGGCCCAAGCACAAAGAGCATCGAATAGAACATAGTTGTGTTTCATTTTCAATAATTAGAAGGCCATCCTGACCTGGGCCAAATTTACACACAAATCAGATATTCGGCGATCTTTAGATGAGAGAAATTATTGGTCCTTTTTGTATTCCCTGGCTAATTTTTTTCAATACCGTCAAATATGATAAAACACAACTGATATTAAACATCGGAGGAAATTGTTGCATCCAAAAACAAATGTGCTTATGTGAAAAAAACTTTTGGTCCCAGAATTGGATTTGCAGTAGTGCCTGAAAATACTATCATCCGATAATGGACAGAGCTAACACGTTAGACAATCAGGTGTGCCGATTTGGAGTTTACTTAGGTCCTAGAAAAAGAGTGGAAGACACGCCGTATGTCACCTAACATGAAGTGCTTTCAGCAATATTTAATAATTCAATGTTTCTGGAAAAAAAAACTTTTTTTAAAAAAAAGCGCGCACTTGAAAACAGTTTGACACACGTAGGGTAAGAAATAAACGGGGCGAAGGTTGGGTTTAATAAACAATGTTTTGACACAAAAAATGGTAAGATACATAAATACAGATGTAGGAGTAAACGACGATGAGACGAGCACACTGGTAACAAAGTGCAGGAAAACAATGGTTTGCCAAAAAAACCCACGGAACGCCATCAATTTTGTTAACTACCTCGATTGTATTACACAACATAAGTCATGGGATGAGAACGTGAGGTCTTCGGGATCAGAATCCAACGATCGACTCCCAATATTAAAAATAAACAATAACAACTATACTACCGATGCTCACAAATAGCCAAAAACGCCAAAACAGCATTTTTACGACCTCATCAGTTTCCGAAACTTTAAAATATTGACTTGGAGGGACGGTATTGTATTGCATTTACCGATAAAGTTGCATAAAAACGTACAACGCATAAACGTTTTCTTGCTCCGTGCACTGCATAGAAGGTAATAAGAGGCATGTAAATATTGTAAACATACCCTGGGTTCTGAACCTGTTCTCGCAGGGTGCGAACAGCGTCATCATTGCTCATTTCCTCGAATGAGATACCATTTACTTCAAGAATCATGTCACCTGGCTCGATGCGACCGTCCTGAGCGACAGCACCACCCTTCATTATGGAGCCCACATAGATGCCATCGTCGCCTGATTTGGTTGACTGGCCTACGATCGAGATGCCCAGGAAATTAACCGAATCCATGTTGAGGGTCACCGTGATTATGTTGAGAGACATGGTTGAATCCGTTATACTGCTGAATGAGGAGGCCTGGAGAAGGGACAGAACAGGGGGACATTGGCGTGAGTTGAGCAGGGAAGATAAATTTGTTAATTAGCAAGGCTTCCGCAGCATCGCTGAAAATTATTTGAAAAACAGAAGAACACTTTGATGTTTCAGGCGAAAAGATAACACTGAAACAACTAGAACAAATATTCTTGTCAGTACAATTGAAAAACTCGAAAGGCGCAGTTAAATGGACGAAGGCGATACGGAAGGATGAAACAATATTCTGAGACAGCGAATGACAATATTCAAAAAAATGGGAAACCTAGCCGAGAACTTGGCGAGTCATAAGACAAAGAGGCGTGTTTGGAAAAAGAAAGCGGAGTCAGAGCACTGTGCATTGTTTCATCTTCATCTAGTAATCAACTCAACAGGAAGTGCAGAAGCGTTTGCCATGGAAAATTAAGCTTAGCACAACGTCTACAAACACACGGCTGCTCCCCTAGAACCTGTAAAATGGAAAATCATCCACAGTGCAGGATCTACAGTGAAGGATAGTCAACACCTTTATTAAGTTTACTATCAAATGAAACCTTAGTGACGAACCGACATAAGTACATCATTTATATGCCTTGTACGATAAAGCAAAGATTAATCTTAACTAAATGGAATTCCTTTATACTGAGTCTAAAGTAATCATAATATCCTTAATAACACATTTTACGTCAATCCGATGAATAAAAAGGCATGCGAAGTGAGTTCACTACGCATGTTCAGCATCAAGCTTACACGAGGAAAAGTTAATCAGTCTGGATTAGGGGAGGAGGTGCCTAGAACGAAACCCCAGATGCAGTTTAGAAAATTATCAACTTTTCCGAATCCACGAAGACAGAAAAATCTACAGACCTTAAGCCTGACTTCATTCCAACAACAGCGGGATCCCAAGGAGGCTTAGATGTGGTTGTAGAATTAATCACCTAAAACAAATCTGGGAAACAACACGATGTCAACTTGTAAACGGCACTGTCGGGATATCGGTGGTTCGCAAAAACAACCGAAAAGGCGTCTTCCTTTGTGGACATCAAGTTCGAACCAGATTCTTCGTCGTGGTCTGGTGCAAAGTCCTAATCAATCAGATGTTATGTCTGACCATTTTGCGATGTCGTGGCATGATAAATCACTAGCAAGTGGATTTTAAGAAAACATCTATTTAGCCACCTGAGTGCGTGTTCTCTGCTAGTGGCGCTGATCGCACAGGCAGGGTTCGATAAAACACCTAAATTGGGAAACTAATGGTAAATAATGTTTTTTTTTTAAATTTGAAATCAATGCAAATCACTCATTAAGCAAGTGTAAAAAAAATTAGGCCTGACGTTTTGATTAAATCTATGAGAAATCAGCTAAAAGAGGATACTAAACAGAGACAGTCGGTATCTGGAAAGAAAGAAGCTCGTCTTAGCGGGCGTGTGCCAATGAGAACACAAGAGAGTGTGCTTCGAAACACTACGAAGAGAGCTCATTCCCACAAAATTTCGGAAAAGAAAGACAAGGAGGGGGGTACGATTAAAAGCAAACAAACCAAGCTATCAACCTGTGTGATATGTATGCTAAACGGTAGCAGTGAGTGCTAGTAGTAGTTCCGAAGGAGAGAAGGACCAACACATGGCATTAATCAGGTTGATTAGTGAACTTGGACCTAACACTTGGCTCGCCTCGCAATGAAAAACCAGTGGGACACACAGTACAGCCAGGATGTATGCAGACGTTAAGAAGGCAACCTTAAAACTGCTCAAAATTCGGAGACGAATCGGTGAAAGTATAAAAAGCACTCGCTTTTGGAATCCAACTAAAGCTCACTTTAACTGAACCATCTGAACGCACAAAGTAACAGCCTTGTGATAAATTGAAGGGACTGTTACCGATCATTCTAAACGAGTCCTTCATAAATCAATCGGCTATGTTCGTTCGTCCTCTTCAAACTGGAAATTTAGCTATTGGGAGGGCCGGTTCCTTTTAACTGACGGACTCTGATAGTAATTTCTTGGTATTTAAATACTTGAACTTAAAGCTCATTACTTTAGGCCAAAATGGAGATTTGAGGATGCACAGAAAGCCAACGTGCCCTGGTAAAAACACATACACAAGCCAAATTAATCACATGGCACTTTTAAGGGAAATATTTTCATCGAAAATCAAGTCATAATTTGGTGCTTGCGCCGGAGGGATGGGTATGACGATAGCAGAGTAATAGGATATGCGTGAAATAGATGCGAAATGGCGTGGGAAGCCAACACGGAACGCAGAGCAGCCCAAATGTGGCGGCACACCTCGAAAGAGCCTGGCATTTCGGTCTGCGGGCCGAAGAGCATTGTCTCTTTTTTTTCCTCGGAGCCCAAAGCTGAGTCATATGAATTGGTCGAAAATGGCAGTGACACTCATTGAAAACCGGATTAATGAATGTTAATGAGTCCAGAAGCAAATTTGTTTAAGAAATCGTGTTAATCGACAAAGTAAGTTGAAAACGTCTGATTAAACCCATTCCCGAGTTAATTGATGTTTCTTTTTATTTCGAAGTGATCAACGAATTAAGCTAGTTTATATCTAGCTCGTATTTAAGTTTTATTCAAAATGACTTGTTAATTCGTGCATCCGAATTCAGGAATGGAAAATCCAGCCTATTAGGCCCATTATATGTTGAAAATTTATTCTCAAAAACCATTCTATTTATTCTTTAGTTTAAAACAACGAGAGCATTCAAATTTTTACGTAGTCGGAACATATTCGCTATGAAAGTGATGTTTACTGTGATACCATTTTGTGGTTAAATTGCAAGGATTTTAGCCTCGAACGAACATCATAGCCACTCATAAAATTACTTCAAGCTAATCACCCGCTGAACCCAGATGGCCCGAAACAGTTCACCTCAATAACTATAAAAATACAACCGAACCATAAGGGATGCTTGCATGGCAAACATTGAAGAGGTTTCCAGTAAAAAATACAAAGATATGGTAATATGTTAGATGAATAATCGACTGTTTTTTAATGGATAAAGACTAAACTGTCCACAAATGACCTAGAATTTCGCTTCGTACATAACGATCCGCCTCAAAAAGTCTCACAACCCTGTGGAAAAATGGACAATGGAACCCACAAGGAAAATTCTCTGGTTTAGTGAGTGTGACACTGGAGAGAAAACAGAGGCTTCTAAAATAGCTTAGTAATTGATAGCACCATACATTGAAGAGGTGCAGACCACGTCTAATGCAGACTTAGAGCAGGCAGAAGGATCTGAATACGACGCAGGTCCTGGTCGCTGATTGCGACCAGTTACCTTACGACAAAGCAACTTTTAATTGATTTCGCCTTAAATGTCAACAGATTGGAAGCCTTACTACTAGAGGATAAGGTCCAGGGCCTGCGCTAAATAGCCACTGGAGTATAAACGAACTAACCAATGGCAAAAGCTCGTCAAGGAATTCAAAAGTAGGATAAATTCTACTGTCAAACTAAAAAAGTCAGAATTCCATAGAATGCAATTTTCAAGAAAAAACACCCATAACGACTTGAAATACTACTTTTTAGGATACCCTCGTAATCAATTTTACATTTCGGAGCTGCTGATTAATGCATGAACAAGGAGGGTGGAGGGTATTTCAGGGTGACATACGCCAGCTATTGGTAGCTTGGTTGCAGGTGACCTTCCCGTGCCAGCGGGACTTGAAAAGAGCGTTTGTCTTGAGAACAACAGGCCTACGGGAGCATTGCAATCCTTTGAAAACAAACTACAGACGTGTACGGTGTCAAGTGCTAAGATAGAGCTTGGTCAGAAATAGTCTCCTCCTTTCCACACACACACGCACACATACACACGCTAAGAGGTTTATACGAAATTGCTAAATCATGCATGACTTTCAGGGAGAGTCAAAGAAGAAAAGTGTCCAGATGAGGACCAAGGAAAAGCAAATACAGGAATACGAAAAATGTCAAACGTCAACATACATAAAAATGGATTTGTTAATTCATGTAAACACTGGAACATCGTTAGTGAATTACACGATTTACCTCCGAGGTCAGTTATGATGGGGTGAGAGACGTTAAAATTGCCAAATTGTCGGCATTAATGTAGGAAAAGAATTAAAATGACCCACGAAGAAATATCACTAGCATCAAAAAGGAGTACCACTGGTAGAGCGTTAAAGTGCATCAAGTTGTAACTTTTCCACATTACTTCAAGGCACTGGACTTGAAATCTACCAACTACCCTTTCAAATGTAACGTGTCTCCAAGACTTATATCAACAGCCTAGCGATTCCCTTGTGACCGACAAAGTATGCTTACAACAAGTTATTGTTTTACCAAACAAACATTTCAGTCAAAACTGGAACACCCTGTGAAATGCTTGAATAAGAGTGTGCCGCGGGAGGCAGATCAGCCTGAGACCCCTTTTGTGGACTGGCGGGAGCAGTTGCTGAGAGCAGGACGCTCTTTGGTTTGGCTGAAAAAGCACCTCAAGCACGTCCAAGTTAAATTAAAGGTGTCGAGTTTAAAGGCAATAGCGCAGTCTTATTCCTGAGCTAACAGGGAAAAAGTTCCCTTCAACGTAGGCACGACGCGTTCGATATCTGACAAAAAGTACGTTACATCTAACCTACGTAAAACGCACAAATACAGTCCGGGTAGAGAATCGGCAAAAGCACACATTCAAAAACTCTTCCTAACTAGACACAGCGAAGGGACGTAACAGACTAAACAGCACAGCATACATTACAAAATTGCAAAACTCCAATGAGGATAAATATCCACATATCCAAGAAACGCATTTGACGTGGATAGGGCTACTTAGTAATACCAAGTAAATTCTAAAGTAACGCTTTTTGAATGTGCGTAATTTAATCGCTAGCCTAAGGCTGAATTTTTAAATTAATTAAACACAATTCAGAAAACATGCAAAATAACTGTAGACGAGATGTGGATTCATTTGTTTCTAACCTCTCAATTCCACTGTGGATCATTCAAATGTCAGAGAAACGAACAGATTTAAGGTAAATATTTACAGCGCTTTAAGCTACTGATAGAAAATGTAATAACGACAGCTGTAATAGTTTGGGTTAAAATAGGATAAAATAAGACCATGCAAAACTGTAATTTAAATCACTAGAGTAAACACATCTGACTTCTTACACATCATTAGACCCAGACAAAGGTACCTGGCTCTCCTATTTGATTAAAACTGGTGTTGGGTAACCCAAATTAAACACTCACAAAGCGCACGAGGTATCAACATCCAAAAGCTTATTCAAGGGCTACAACACACAGACAAAAACAACCACTAACATACTCGTGGTAGGAAAAGCGCATAACCCCAAGACGAATGAATGTTGAGAGCATAAACGTTGACAATACAAATTAAGGGAACAATAAAAGAGTCACATAAACTAACACGACTGATGGGGAGAAGCCGTCTTCGCCGTCGCCGTTGCCTGTGCCTGCCGTATCGCGAAGACATGGTTGTGCCGGTGGCCCCTGAAAATCTAAGCCAAAAATACCACGTAAGAATGGAACTACAAAAAAGTTATTTAAGTTGTAACCAAGGTGATTGAT